TTAATTGCAAAACATTATCTATTAGACTCTTATTAAAACTTAAGAGCTTTTTTACATTGATGACTCAGATAAATTAATTTAGGAAATCTTTATTTTTTTTTTATCTTAAAAAATGTCCTGTTAGAGTTAGACAAAATTATTAAAATTGTAATTTATATAATATACTAGCTTTACCCGGCCACGCGCTGCTGTGGCTTGGCCTGGCAAAATGAAAAAGAAAGAAAATAGAAAGCACATATGAGTAGATTAGTAGCAAAGGACATCTGTCATTTTTAAAAAGTTGAGAAACAAATTTGTCTGTACAATGGCTTCAATTTAAACTAATTCTAATGATTTTTTTTTTTCTCATGATTCAAATTGAACATTCATAATCATCAGAAACAGTCTGAGTTGAACTTATAAAACTAAAATAAAAAATTAATATAAAGAACGTATAATAGTATTGACCTACATAAGGAGAATCATATAACTTCTTCAAATGATAATTTCAATTACTGTAGTAATTATAAAATTTTCGATTAATCAATAAAAAAAAAAAAAAAAAAAAAATGCTTGCCTACCTTCGGTAGTGAGGAAGCAAAAGGAAACTGCATTTTCTGAAGAGAAAGCAGTAAATGTTTAAAAATCTATAACTCTGCAACGAACCGTCCGATTTCGATGTTTGTTTTTTTTTGTTTTTTTTTCGGCAAATCAAGAATCTTTCAAATAAATGTGGGTATTATCAGTCAAAAATTCTGTAATTTTTTAGTTATCGTCAAATAATATATTGAATTCATCGTAACATTTTTCAACTTGTTTTCGGTAAAGTATGTCATACACATAAATTAAAAGGGTTTTATGTGGAAGACTTTAGCCAAGTTTCATTAAAATCGGTAAAGCCGTTTTGGCGCTACAGTTTATAGCGACACATTTTTTTGCGGCTTTGAACAGAAAAACATTTACATTTTTATTTTTTTTACATATAAAAAATTATCATTAGACAGAAGTAATATGCCAGTTTCATGGCGATCGGTTGAATGGTTTATTAATGCACCAAGGACAAACAGACGGACAGACAGACATACATTCATTTATATATATAAATAAATAACCAAATAATTTTTAAGAAAATAATAATCAGTAATTATATTAAACAGACCTAAGTAACATAAAATCATGGTTTCCTAACAAGAGCAGAGTGGCGCAGTGGAAGCGTGCTGGGCCCATAACCCAGAGGTCCGTGGATCGAAACCACGCTCTGCTATATCTTTTTTTTTGTTCTACCAACGATTACATATGTAGTATAAATCACACATTATTTTAAAATTATTTTATTTTTTTAAGATTTAGTATTTTGATAAAGAGCAGAAATTATAAATTAATTAACCAAAAAAATAATAATTAATACTTTACTCTTTAATAATTGAAGAGACGTTGGTTGGCGTGTTCAATCAAAATTCACAGTAAAAGTAAATACATAATATTTATTTTTTTATAAATAAATAATTTATTTATTTGTCTTTATTGTTGCCTCTACCCTGCACGGTCATTGGCAAAACTTCCTATTTATACTCTATTGTAGAACTTTATTATTTTTTAAAAATTGTAAGGTTTTTTCCACGCCGTTTTCGTTGTCGCTGAGGTTTCTTTTTCACTGATTTTTTTTTTAGGGTCTGAGCCATATCGAGATTTTTCCTTACATTCTTAAATACTGGGCAGTCTTGGATGATGTGTTGGACAGTTCTTTGCACCTTACAGCTCTCGCAAGTCGGTGGGTCTAGTCCTCTTAGTAAATAGCCATGTGAAAATTCACAATTTAGAACTTTATTATATATAAATAAATAATATTATTTTTGTTAACGTTTCGGTACGTGGTTCAGGCCTTCATCAGGGCTGAGAAAATAAAATAAATATAAGATATTTATTTATTTATCTATTTTGACTGTCAGCCCCACTGTATATGAATAAAATTATACATGAAGGAAATTCAATCTATAATATAAGTGAAATATCAACAACGTACTTGAAATAAAACTGGAAATCATCTGTATTGATGTAGTATCGTCAGATTACAGTCAGATTCCAGCTAACTATTAATATTATATATGTATTGTGTAGCAATCATATAATCATAACACTTGGTAAGAGATAGTACATGCATTTCCTACTATCGACGTAGGAATTTCAATACATACATTTTTTTTTTTTTTTTTTTTTATTCAATTATAAGTAACTGTTTATTTATATATATATATATATATATATATATTCAAGTAAAGTTTTTTTTTTTTTTTTTTTTTTTTTTTTTTTTTTTTTTTTTATGAAATGAACTCATTGTATCTCTTTTTCGTTCTTCATTTCTAAAAGTGTATGCTTATGTTGTTCAACCCTTAAATATAATTTTGTTCATAGTTCAAGTGATTCGTTCATAGTTTTAATTGTTTTGTTCATAATTTTAAATGCTCTGTACATAGTTTTATCTGTATTGTATATAGCTTGTGCACCTAAGGTTTTCTTTACTTTTTATTTTATTTTATCAATTTTATTTATTGTTTCAACGTTCAGGCCAGTAATATTCTATTATTTTGTACATTATTGTTATTCTGAAGGGACTTAGTCCCAGAATAAAGTTTTTTTTTTCTATCTATCTATCTAGTATTGGCGCAAATTTTGCAATAAGTAGGTACCTGAAAAAAATCCCATATATTTTTGAAAATTGATTGTACTTGATAACAGGAGAAAAAAAAATGGTGGATGAATAATATTTTAATCAAGTGACGCTTTCTTAGAAAATTTTATTATTACGATACATTGAATGTTTTATAGGAAAATCTTCTTCAACTGGAGTAAATTTTGGCAACTTTGCATCCCTAAACTTTTTGAAGTGAATACTTCTTTAGGCGCGTTTTGCACTTTTTTTTTAAGAATAAATTGATAACCTTTCCATTGATACCTGCGCCTCTGAGAGCCGGAAAAGGGATATATATTTGAGAAATAATATATAAGAAAATAATATAAGAGAGGAAATTGGGAAATAAGGCAGATTACCGGGAACCCATTGTATACAAATAATGATATTTATTTACGATCAATGTGATAATATATTGGACTCTATGAAAATGGAATATTGACTTATAATAGCTTATATAGTCGGGGTATCCATCACAGATAATTACAATAATTATAAACAAATTATTCGAACAATTCTTCGAAAAGAGTAACCTTGGGTATTTCCATAATACAAGTGCAATCACGGCCTTCTAAAGATAAAATAACAACACATCTGCGATCTCAGACATCAGGTGGTTAGTTCTTCTGACATATTCAGGTCTAGTAATTTCGAAACGTTTTAGTTTTAAGGCGGATTTACATGTTTTTTTAAACGGCGCAAACACAAAATGTTGATAGAAAAAACTAACAGAGGTTTTTTAACGCTTCTGATACATAGAAATATTTTGGTTTTAAATATGTTTATGACTGTATTTAAGCTGTTATTTTCATTAGTTCAAGTTTATATATATTTATTTTTAGTATTATTATTTTGATGTTCCATTTAATTTAGTTTTATTTATTGCACATGTGGAATTAATGAACTTCTGTATTATACTAATGTCCTTAGTTGTGAAAAAATGTAATTTTTTTCTATAAAGAAATGTGAACAACTTAAAATACCTAGTTCTGCCAAAAGTACTGTTACAAAAGTTGAACTTTGTTCACATCCTTGAGTAATATTTAGATAATCCTTACCTCTATCAGGTTATTTTCTTTAGATGTCAGGATAATAATCCTAATTAGTTTGTATTTTTCTATCTATCTGTTAACATGGAGTGGGATGGTAAAGAAAACTGAATAGCTGTGATCGCCTTACACAAAGTTGGAAAATGTAGGTCAGAGATTTTCAACACTTTGAAACTCATGCTGATTGGGTATCAGCCGTATGTTCGTGTACCGCACTATAAATAGATATAATGAGACCCTATCTGTATGTGACAGATCTCGACCGGGCCGTCCCCGCACTGTGAGGACGGCAAATGCAGTAAGAACAGTGGCTGCTCGAACCAGAAGAAATCTCATTCGAAAACAACAAATCATGTCTCGGGAAATGGGAATCTCTGTCAGATCAATGTCTCGCATAATAAAAAGTGACCTTAGGATGGGTGCTTTTCGAAGAATGGCAGGACAAAAGCTATCCACTTCTCTAAAAGAAATGAGAGTGGATAGATGTGCAAAGTGCTCCTTGGTCTTCATCGAAAGATTTTGTTTAGCGATGAGAAAATTTTCACAATTGAAGAAAAACTTAATCGTCACATAAAAAAAAAGAAAATATATATATAAATATATATATATATAAATATATATATATATATATATATAAATATATATATATAATATATATATATATATATATATATATATATATATATATATATATATATATATATATATATATATAAAATCATATCAAAGGGATACAGAAATCTACAGCATGTATTTTTCATACTGTTCGCTTATGCATAGGATTTGGTGGTTTTCGGAAGCAATGGACGAAACCTGCAATTCAACCTCCGCATTATTCAGGAAGAATTAAATGAGATAAATATACAAATAAATGTGAAAAAAACATTATGAGGATTGGCAGAAAACAAGGAAGAGGAGACATACTAGAGCATTTGAGTCTAGTTCCATTAGAACAAGTAAAAAATTTTAAATACTCCAGTACCCACATGAGTGAAGTCTGCAGGAAGGTGCTTTAACGCCATCAAGAAAGGATTCTTGAACAAGAGAGAAGTGAGCAAGGAGATCAAAACAACCGTGTAAAAAAATACTTTCCTCCCGATAATGACCTACTCAAGCAAATCACGGACCCTCACCACAAAACACATCAGTCAGATTCAGGCCATGGTGATGAGATTCTTGCGCAGGTTATATCTGGTTATATATAAAGATATCGCTTAGAGATCGCCATCCGAAACTCTGATGGAGGAAAATCGTTTGAGAGATGGTTTGACCATGTCTCTCGAATGCCAGAGAATCGAATGGCCAGGATAGCGTTGAGAGAAAAAGACCTCAGGGAAAGCTCAAGAAGACCTGTAAGTTCAGTGTCAAGGAGGCCTTTTACAGAAGGGATATTGACTGGAGGAGGAGGCGGCAGATGGCTCAGGATCGAGAGTTGTGTATTCGGCTCTACAAGAAGGCTCCTCACACCGCTCAGGGCTAGAAGAGGAAACGATTAAGAAGAAGAAGAAGATATAATCGCAAAAATGATGGTGTGTACTCACACAGCTCTACAGAAGCCCAGGAAGTCATTGGAAGAGTGGAAAGAGGTCATCTCCCTTCCTTGATGGTGGGTGTGGAGTTTGCTTTGATGGCACCACAAACCTCCATTTTTGTGAAAAAGGAGAAAAAGAGCCGCGAAAAACTATGAGGACGAAATTTTGGGACATGTTATGAAGCCTCTAAATGATACTCTGTTCGCTGGAAGTCATTGAGTTTTCCAGCAGGATTCCGCTCCAGCTCACATGGCCATATCAACTCAGCGGTGGCTGCAAAAGAACATTCCAGAGTTCATCTCTCTTAATATAAACTTTCTTAATAGGAAGCACCGTGTAAATCAATAACCTAAAAATATCGGATAAACATATATTCCATCGGTCGCCATTTTGTATTTCGGCGGATTTATGCTGTCGGATTTTTTTTAGCTCTTCTTCATGGAAATAATTGTTTGAAATAGCTAAAACTGCCTAAAATGTCAGGACTTTCTCCATGTGCTCACCGACAACTTTAATTTGTGTCCAAAAATTATGCCGGATTGGTCAGGCACACAGGAAAACTTGAGCCAAATATCTCATTTACATGATCTTGTCCGCCATGCCATGGTCTTGCTCATTTGTGAACAACAAACAATCAAATGATAGTGTTAATTTAGTGACTGATTGACTTGAGTCACATTTAAAAAAAAAATTATAACTTTAAATACTTGGGTTTTGAATTACGTAGATTATTTTTCAACAATCCTTAATTGTTCCGTCCTTATCATTTGTTTTCTGAGAGACAACAACAACATCTGAAAGAAAGTTTTTTAACAAAAGACGATTTTATAACAACAATAATATTTAACAGCTTTTATAACCCATAAAATATGCATACTTTTGATAATTCATTTGATTGTTTTATTTACTTTTTTCCTTTATCTAAAATATGTCAATAATTGCACAGGGTATTTTAAAATCTATTATACAATTTCTGTGAAATGCTTTGTGATAACAAAAACATTTTTAATGCAAGCCCGTATTTGGAATTTTATTTCTCTATATTCATGTTAAATATTTGCAAACAAATATAAACGTTTTCTCCCGAAGCACATTATTGTTCTAGTAATAATATTTTTAAATAAATTCAAGACTAGAATTAATGAAGATAAGAGTTTCATTATAATATACTTATTGAAATTTATATCTGAATTAACTAAAAACACAACTACTAAATGTGAATTGGTAATATGGCATGTACGACTTTAAGAGAAACTACACATTGGTGGCTCTCCAATTATACCATTATATTAAAACGTCTCGAGACCATCTTCTTTTCAGTTGCCTAAAAGAGTTGTCCGGAATCGAAGTGGAAGCAAGGTTAGAAAGAAATGGGTTTGGATTGGCCTTAAGGTCATTATGGAAGGATATACATATCTGGATTGGGCTAAGTCGGTGACATATGAAACATCAAGATCATTATGGATATTTTATTTGTGATAGTAGGGGAGCATTGAGGATTTGACGAAGAATTTTGGATTGTAAGGATCGGATACCAGTAGTATTTGATGGTTTAGTGGAGCCCGAAAGCTCAAGTCCGTAAGCCCAAATATGCCTTATTATAGTCAAGTAAATGAGTCTTTTATAATTTATTGGAAGTTTAGAACGTTTGTCTTGTAGTCTTGTTTGACGACTCTAAGTAAGACGTTTGTCCAGATGGAATCCTAGCTAGTGGGTCTGTTCAACAGTAAAAAATGGGTATTACTGTAGGATATTGTATACCACCAGCGGATTTAGGATTTAATTTTGGAGGGGCTTCAGCCCGAAAGATTTTGTTTTATTATTTTCAATACTGAACCATTGTGATCGACCGAAAAATTCAAAAACTTAACCCCCTCTCAAAATTTGAGGTTTCACGTTTCAGGATGCGTAGAGTTCGAAAAACGAATAAAATTTTTTTTGTTCGTCCGCCGTCCGCGCATTTTCTCCGAAACTACTGGGCCGATTATTTTCAAATTTGGATATAAAATCAGAGGTGACCCAAAGGTGATCCTCCTTCCTTCGAAATTACCATCCGCCTTTTACTTTCAAAGCGGATTTTTGGCGGGCGAAAAACATGCGTTGCTATAGTTTGCTAGACTGTAGTTCCTAAATGAATGTACTGATTTCAATGAGACTTCGCTAAAGTCATTTTCTTGACGCCCTTTAAATTTATCTATATAACATGCTTCAACGAAAAGAAGCTGGAAAAAAAGTTCCAAGAGATGGTAAAATTAAATTCCGAATAACTCGAAAAGTTTTTACTTTTTTGTTGATATCGTGATAAGATGTTTCAAAGGTATTTAAATTTCCTGAAAAATGAAGGTAGTTTAAACGAAATCAAAGCACTATTAGTACAAATATCGCGGTTTCTACATATTTAGTTTTTTTTAAGTTTACTAAATTTCCTAAAAAAAAAAAAAAAAAATCGTTAAAATCAGACAATTAGGGGCAAAGATATGGTCTCCGGTTTTTTAAAAATATGTTCTATTCCAAATGTTATATGCTTTGTTTGGTTTTTAAATTTTGTATATTTTACTGATGTAATGCTATTTTTTTTAGCATATTACCTATGAAATAAAACTTACTAATTAAAAAAAAAAAGTTTAGTCCAATAATTGGAATCATCTATTTATTTATTTTTCTTTGTAACTATGAAGGTAATGTTACTTTAGATGCATAATTGTCTGGTAATAATATAATAATTGTCTGGTAATAAACCATTGTCGAATAATTTGCAGCGTTTTTTTTCATATATATATATATATATATATATATATATATATATATATATATATATAACGATAATTAATTTGGAAAACAAAAAGAGAAAGAAATGAAGTAGCTATATGAAATGATGTTTCTTCAAGTGATTCTTGAAGTTCTATTAAATGTAATTAATGTAATGTAACACGAACAATAATACTTTAAGATATAGTTTTTAATATTTTTTCCATAAAACATGGTTATATTTTACATTTTTTTGGGGGGGGGAGGAGGGCTTGAGCCCGAAGGTTCTCCCTCCTCCCCCCCCGTAAATCCGCCTGAGCTGTATACAAATATTCTATAACTGAGTTTGACTTAATTCGATAAAAGATGGATCTTAAAAAATCGATTATTATTATTATAATGGCTCTACAGTCCTACAAGAACCCGAACCTCCTCCACTACAGCCAACCAATCTCCACGGTCTTGTGTTACTTACCTCCATCTTCGAGTAACCAGCCGCCTCAGATCGTCCTCAACATCCTCCAGCCATCCGATACCTCTACTTCTTTTGCCATCCGGCTTCTCATGCAGCATCCTCTTTGGCATTCTTGCCACATGATCTAACCATCTGATTCTGGCTGTTTTATCAATGCTTCAATATCAGGTTCACTATAGAGTTCCCGCAGCTCCTAATTCTTTCATCTTCTCCAAATTCCATTCTCAAAGATTCCGCGATATATTCTTCTCAATACTTTCCTTTCCCTGTTCAATATATCTCGTGCCCTGTCTTGTGTCTTATTATATATATTTTTACTTTATTATATTCTTATAAAATTTCTTGGTTCAACCATTGAAAAAAAAAAAATAAATAAATCATCCAGCACTACTTACCTTATTTTAATTATCTTTAAAAATTGTTATTATTATATCTTGGTTATTATTTTTCTTGTAAAATACTCGGGTATACTGTAAATTACTGTAAAAAAAATCGCATGGTTTCTCTCAAATAGATATTGTACACCGATAATTTTTTTCTGTAAATTACATTTACTCTAGAACTCGTTTAAACTTATGTTTATTTAATCGTAAATACTTTAAACACTGATTATTCTATTTTATTCTTCATATTTTCTTAAATATGACAATAAAACAAATTTAAAATTAGTAAATTTAATAAAGCGGTATGATTAATTATTTGAAGGGATATTAAACTTTTGTTTGTTTTGTTGGAACCAATGGAATTTATTTTGTTATTTTTTTAGTATTGCGTAAAATTGATATTTGTTTATTTTGTAATAATTTAATATAATTACAATAAGATTCTTCTAATGTCATACTTCTATTGTTATAAAAAATATAATTAAAATGTTACAGTCTAGTATTGAAGTCGAACGCAAAATTTAAAAATAATATTAAGCGTTTACGAGATCGTACGGCCTTATGACGTAGTTCTTCTTTAAAGCAAAAGAACATTGAGAACTTTTTTCAATGGTTGAGCGTGCGTTCTGAGTTTTTGGTTAAGGTCCAATTCTCACACCCATACATATCCATTGGCCTTACTATTGTTTTGTATATGAGAATTTTAATTCTTTTAGAGAGTGATCTGAATTTCAAGTCTCTTTGCAGTAAGAAATAGTATTTATTTCCTGCTGCAATCCTGGTATTTATTTCACTCTCCATTTTATTATTGCACGTGACCAGGCTTCCAAGGTACATGAACTGGTCAACAGATCTAAAATTGTGATCCCTTAATGCTATTTCTGTACTCATTTCCTTTTCCATTTTTGAATTTTTCATATACACCGTCTTATTTTCGTTAACTCTTAAGGCCAAGTTAAGAGTCGATTACCTTAATTTATTTACTTCAAGTAAGCCTATTTGAAATCCCTAATTAAAAATTAATTTTCCTGACAATAAATCACTTTATTTATCCACTTTAATATTAGTGATTTAGATATTGACTTAAGTTATCGCTAAATATCTTCAAATCTCTCATTGAGCGCATGTTATTTGCACAATGAAAATAAAAATGATACTAGCGATCTAAATATGTGAAAATAATAAACAAAGCTGATAAAACTGATCATAATGACGTTATGCTAAAGATATCTGCTCTAAGAGCTCTGATGTCAGAGGCCCAATAACCAGACATGTCTGTACCAGCTGCGCACAATTGCAATGCAACTTTAATATAATTTACCTCTACTGGTCCTTAATACCAGTAATGCGGCCAAGTGAGAGGTGCTGGGATCTCTTAGAGTCCTGCCTTTCCTTCCAGGAGTGGTGGGAAAGGCTTGGCTCGAAGTTCTCCTGAGTAAATTAATTTTGTATATAAGTAATTTCTAAATATTGTATATAAGTAGGCTTGTATTTAAGTTATTATTTTTGTTTATATACATTTATATTATTATTTTTGTTTTATATTGTCATTAATATATGCATTAAAATATCTCAGAAACTAAAAATCGAATCTGCATACTGTGTAAGCGAAGGAAATGTTCAGCATTTCATCCTATTATATTTAATATATATTTCATATTATTAATCTCGTCTTGTTATTGTTTTCAATTCTATCCAGTAGTCTAAGGCACATACCTTTGTTTTTTTCTGTTTAATTTATTTTTATTTATTGTACATAGAGTGTGAATGTACTCTTTGAAAATATTATAAATGTCTTTAATTAAAAAAGATTGTTAGTAAAATTAATTTTTTAATTCCTGCCCATCTTCGTCATCCATATGGGTAGTTAGTTTCTTTCATTATTTTTTTTTTTCAAATTAATTATCGTTATATATACGAAAAATAACTTTCGGCCTGAAGCCCTCCCCTAAAATTAAATTCTGCATCCGTGAGCCAAGCGCTTTTCAAAAACAATAGTTTTAATTTTTATTTAGAAATAAAAATATTAAAATATCGAAGAGACGATATCGATAGTAGATATAGTCGAATTAGATACTATCCATGGTAAGAAATCGAATATCGAAATTTCGACAATATCGATTATCGAGAGGGCATTACCGATTTTGAGGAATACAATTTTCTCTACATGAATCTACGGTTTCTCTGCCTTTCCTTTGTGAGGTGAAGCAAAAATTAAAACTTGCCACTATCTGTTACTGTTTTTTATAGTTACGTAATACTTGGACGTAATGTGTGATGCACTTTCTATATATACAAAGATGACAAACATATTTAATCTAGATCCAAGATGTCATCTACTGATTAGCAAAGAATCGCGTGACAATAACATCGGCTGGGTTGAGTTCACGTTGCGAATCGATGATAATTTGGGCTTCAAGGTCCTCACTGAGCCAAAGAGGTCATAACATAACATTCACTGCTCAAATTGCAAGGAGCTACCTTAAATATTAACATAATATTATAGGTTTACTGTAAAAAAAATCATTAAGTGACATTTCACTGATATTTTTCTTTGTTCAAAAAAAAAAAAATGTGTGTGGTGTAACTATATTTAATATTTAAAAGATTTGTGTCATTTTAGTGTAATAATAGTGTTTTTTTTTATCGATAAATAATAGTCCGTGTAAAGACCAATTTTTATCAAATTATTAACTTTCCAAATAGCTTCTTCTCATTCCAACCTACAAATATTTTATTTAACCAAATACTCGAAATTAGGGCTTTTTCAATCTGGCGATTGTCAAACTTTGTCTATTTAATTAGGTACTAAATACCCATTTGCTTCGTAAGATAATTTGAGCACAAAGCTTAAAAAAAAAAAAAGGTGGCCTTCAAAAATATCGAGCCGTTTGGTGTGACCTGCACTCTCCAATTGTCAAAATAACGAGATTATATAGGCCAAACGGTTTAAGATTTTTGTAGACTACCTTTTTTTATCGATTTTGTGATCAAATTATCTTTTTTAATTTCTAATTAAACAGACAAACTTTGTCGATCTTCAGATTGAAACGCTCCAATTCCAAGAATTTTCATAAATGAAATATTAGTAGCTTACGATGAGATGAAGCAATTTACGAATTTCCAGGCAGATGTTAATAAGTTGATAAAAATGGGTCTATACCACGAATTATAAGGTTGAAATTCACAAAAACATCCTTAAAAGCACAGCTCCACCAAAAATATAAAAAATCTGACAAATCTCTTTGGTTCCTCTTTGTTTCCAATTTAAAATGTCTTTAATCATGATGAACAATAATAATTTGTGTGGGCTATGCGTAACTGTAAAGAAAAGAAATTCTCATGAACGTCACAGTCCATTATGGTAAATATAGATTTTTAAAGTACCTATATTTTCCTAAAAACTTGTGTTTTTTTTTAGAAAAAAAAATTAGAAAAAAAGTCATGTATTCATCATGATTCTATTTACAATATATGAACAGGTTTTGCTCATAACAACAGGCAGATCTACGGGGAAGATGAGAGTGGGGGACTTTCGGGCTGAAGCCCTTCCAAAATGATGAAATATATCCATGTCTTACGAAAAAAATTATCTCTAAAAAGTATAATTCTTCGTTAACTACATCTAATAGGACTTCAAGAATCGCTTAAACACCATTTCTTGTTGGTAGTTAGTTTCTTTCCCTTTCTTTCAAAGACATTATCGTCATATATATATAATAATAAAAAAAGACTTAGCGAACCCGGAGGTTCGATGCCGACATCACCAATCGCTTATTACACACCTCCCTCCACCGCTCGCAAACCTAGTCACTTCAAATCGTCTTAAACGCAATCTTCCCACCTTCGCTTCGGTCTACTTCGAACCGATAGTATTGACTTTAAAATTAATTGATTTTAGATAGAACACTAAAAATTACATAACAATCATAAATAAAACTCATATCGATATCAGTAATTTGGAAGGTAATTTCAGAGTTAATATAGATCTCTTTACAGTTCTCCCACAATTTGACGCTGATATTTCTGACTTTAAGAGACCGTAAAATCTCAACAGCATCGTTTGATTTATAGTAGCAAATAAATATGTACACCATATCCACCTATCCACAGACAAATTTTATAATAATACAACGAAGTATAAATTTTGATGTCGCTAGATATAATAAATAATAAGATTAAACGACGCATTTGTAACAGTCATACTATTATTTTTATTGATTATTTATAAGGCCATTGTTATATTATCGAGGTCACAGACGTCACCTTTATATTCAAAGTGGTCCGAATAATATAATCCCAAATTATGAGTTTCTTAGCCAGCTAAGATTAATGTTATATTTCTTTTATTAATAGCTATTATCATTGGTGACGTTTATAATTAATATCTTGGATAATTCAATCATGTGATTATTTTTAGGATGTTTAATCCCTCTTCTCCCCCCCCCCCCAATATCTATCATCTACAGATATCGTGTACAGGTGATGTATTTTATAATAATATTTTATTAATTAACACCACACTTAAAAAAAAATTTCTCGATCGCAATACTTACACTTACTATATATTACATATATATGTAAGTGAAAGTAAACATATTTAAAAATCGCGATATCTCTACTAATAGTGCTTCGATTTCGATGAAACTTCTTTTGTTTTTTAGGCAATTTAAATGCCTTTGAAACATCTTATCACAACATTCCCAAAAAAGTGTATACTTTTTGAGTTATTCGGAATTTAATTT